AGTCATGTATCTTTTTGTAGTATTTTGTACATTAAAATGATACATTTCTAGTCTAAGTTAACTTATCAACTTTTCTAGTGTAGATATAAATAATACAAAATACAATTTTGATATTCCACTCAGTGGTAGAGTGTTTGCCAAGCATGTTCAAGGTTCTAGGTCCAGTTCACACTACAAGCACACTCCTTATATTAATATGCCACTCATAATTATAGTGATAACATTAATGTAAGCATCTTAACAAATCATATTTAAAATTGTTGATTTAGTTAATTTTTAAAAAGCAAGGTTATCAAATGGTCAGCCCTGAAAATATCCATACAAGGAACAGTATACAGACCGAGCTGGTTTTATTTAGGAATGGACATCTATGCATGCAGTAACAATAAGTGAAGTAAGGGGCCACGGATTTGAAGGAGAGTGGACAGGGGCATATGAGAGGCTATGAGGGGAGGCAAGGAAAGAGAGAAATGTCACCAGTTATAACTCAAAAATAAAATTCACAAAACAAGGTTGTCTCTATAAATCTTCGTAAATCCATGCCCAAGAAAACAGCGGCTCACTAATGCTGTTAATGACAGTGGTGGCAGTGGGCAGTGGATTCTTTGTAGAGTTCCCACTCTTTACGACTAACCATACATCTATTTATGCAGTTATAATTACTGGTTACAAAATGACAAAGAACATCTGTCTTGTCCAGTTGTTTAAGTTAAAAAACACAACCTGCATTCATAGACAATAGAGGGATGGACACCTGAGCAGTCAGAGACTCTTCTTCTAGACCAACAGCTCAGGGCAGAAGCTGTAGAGTGGACTCTGCCCTCAGCCAGGAATGGGAGGTTGAAACCAGTGCCATGCATGTAGCCAAGCTGCACTTACACACATTTTCCTGCCAAACAATGCAGCCACATACAAAGGAATTCCAGCAATCAATAGCAAAGTATGTTTGCAGAGCTAGGATGCTGCAAAGCCTTGATTATACAGGTTTTGACCACCATAACTTACCCAGTATGTTATAATTTTGTTCTGGGTAAATTCATTTTTAAAAATTATGGGTATACTATATGCAACAGCCAGGAGGAAGAAATGATCTTCCTATTAGCATTATCATCCCATCAAAATAGTTACCATCTGTTCCATGCACAGTGTGTGCCATGAACTGGGCTCCTCCACCACATTTACCGTCCTCTGCAGTGATGACAAAGCAAATGGCCTCCCGTTTACAGTTGAGGAAACCCTTTCAAAGGAAGCTGAGTTACTCCCTAGGGACCACACACCACTGAACCTGGGACTAAAATGTGGGCAGAGGCAGTTTGGCTGTAAATCCCAGACTTCTGGAAAATAGTGCCTCTCATAAATTTCACATGTACAATCCATAATGTTCTAGGCAAGCCTTTGAGTCTCAACACTAGGACATGAGGACTCCTACAAGAACATGACATCCTTCTAGATCTAGAACAGTTGCACAGCAAGATGCTCAAGGTTAGAAAGAAGGCCATGGTGCCTACCTAACCATGTGAAATGAGCCCCTGCCACAGCACTAAGAGTCACCAGACCCATGCCCACTGCTGTGAAGAGGGTTCCCAAGCAACATGGGAACTGAGAACAAGACCTGAAACAGCAGATAAAACCCCTCACATTGTGGGGCCAGGCCATGGAGTGTGGGGCACTTGTTTGCAGCACATAGAACTGCATTTTACATACAGAGGGCCCCTTAACATCTCATCTCCTGTCATCTGCAAGTCAGGCCGATAGACTGAGCTGTATTCTAAATGCCAGCCAAAAGAAATAAGGCCAGGTTTTCCTGACAGACACCAAATCCATGCTAGTGCCACACTTAGTGGTGTATTA